CACCCATCACCCATCATCCTTCACCCATCCCAGCACCCTTCACCCATCATCCTTCACCCATCCCAGCACCCTTCACCCATCCCATCGCCCATTCCAGCACCCATCACCCATCATCCTTCACCCATCCCAGCACCCTTCACCCATTCCATCACCCATCCCAGCACCCTTCACCCATCCCATCACCCATCCCAGCACCCATCACCCATCATCCTTCACCCATCATCCTTCACTCATCCCAGCACCCTTCACCCATCCCAGCACCCATTCCAGCATCCATCACCCATCCCGGCACCCAACAGGCTCCACTCTGGCTTGGTTTACTTTGAACCCCCATGTAAGCTCTGTCCCAGGGCCAGAGAGGTGGGAGGGCTCTGCCAGCATGAAGGGCTATGGGGCATGAGGAGGCAGGACGGTGGCCAACACCCCAGGGGAAAACCCCCCCAGCCCCCTTTTCCCTGAGATGAGGTTACCCCAAAAGCACTCCTGACTGATTTGGATCTCAGTTTCGGACCACACCAGCCACAGAGGAGGGCTCTCCTCGCTACCTCAGCCCACAAAAGGGGGGGTCAGGCCCCCGCCAAGCCTCCCTTCCCCTGCATGCAGCCAGAGGGCTGGAGCCCTACCCGTAGTCCTTGACGAGGTGTGGTCTGGGCCCGTTGAGCACGGCCTCGGGCGGTGGCGGCGCGTGGGGCTGCTGCAGCCGGTTGAGGCTGTTCTGGCGGCTGCCCGGGGCCGGGCGGTACACGTGCTCCTGGGGGTTGGGGGGGGGCCAGCACCCCCTCCTTGTGCTCCGCCGGGGCCAGCAGCTGCGCGGGGTGGTTGGGGCTCGCCGGGTACGAGTGGTCGGCCGCGTCCGACGCGTAGGATCTGCAGCACGGAGAAACCCCACTGTTGTACTCGGGGCAGGGCGGTCACGGGGTGGGGGGGACAGGAGTATTTTGGGGTCGAGCGAACGAAACAAAAAATGGCCACAAAAATATAGATGTACAAGACAGCAGAGAGATAGCAGAGGGGAGGAGGACACCAACACAGCTGAACCACTCTCTCTGCCCACAACTGCTAAATGGAAAGATCTCTGATTTTATCCCAATGCCAAGGCTGCTCCTGAGGTCCAGGATGACACCCTGGGGGTACCAACTATCATGACACTACCAAGGGCTTTCGGCTTATCACCCCAACCCTGCTGTGGGAACACGAACCCCCACAGACGGAGCAGAGCAAAGCAAAGCAGAGCCGGTGAGCAGAACGTGCAGTAGGTAGAACCTGCCTATTATCTGGGGACAGTGATCCTTCCGATGACGCCATGTGATAGGGGGATGGTGAGAACCTGTTATCGGGCCGGAACTCTTTATCATATGCCATCATGTTCCACTCCAGCCGCCGGTTCCGGGCTTTCCTCACTTTCTTCACCTCCCGGGTGGAGTCCTCCACCAGCCGCTGCTCCTGTGGGCACACAGAGCCACAGCTCCACCTCCAGCACGGCTCCTCTGGACCATGAGCAGTGCCCAGGGAGCATCACCCCACCCCAGCAGATGCACCTCATGCAGTAGAGGGGAGTGCACAGGATGCAGAGGAAGGTGACTGTTCCCAGGTGCCAGGCAACCCCAGCTCCAGCCCCTCAGAGTCCCCCACCTGCCCGTTACCTTCTGTCTGCGCTTCTCCTTCCTCTTATCTTCTGTTGCCTGCAACATTTTTTCCTTCCATAAATTGAAGAAGTAGGAGGGGTCGGTGTAGAATTTGAGGCCATCCTTTTTGTCATCCCTGAGCATTGGGAAGGGAGGAGAGAAGCTATCAGCCACAGGAGAAGACACCCGTTCCCCTGCACATGGGCTTTGGTACAACCATGATGGTGAGCTGTTGCCCCACCAGGAACATGTCCAACACAGAGGTCACTACCCGTAGTACCACTGGGGAGGTCACCCATCCCAGCCACCCTGACAGTGCGGGTGGTGGCACAGCAACTGCAGAAATCAGCCTCTCAGGCCTCATCAAGCAGCAAATGGGGTGCACACCTGATGCCTCTCTTGGAAAAGGCTCCCAAGAATGCCTTGGGACCCCCTTGTTCCCCCCAGGAGACGATGTGCCTGTACCTGTAGGGTGTGAGGATGTTGAGTGGCGGGGGTTTGTCGCAGCGCTGGTACATCTCCATCACCGGGTTGGGGATGGAGTTGCGAGACACAACCTGCTGGTTCTGCACCGTGGAGCTCTTGAAGGCTTTCCTCATGTTGATGTCCTGTAGCGAAACTGTGGGCACAGGAAGGAGAAGGGGTACAGAGGTGACCTCGGCCTCCCAAACAAGGCATGGCGGGTGGTCCAGCCATGAGCACATGTCCTGGCTGTCACCCCAAAACAGCCCCAGGCCCTCACCTTCCTCCACAGTGGAGTCCAGCTGCGTCACCTTGATGACCAGCAGGTCCACCCTCTCCTGCAGCGAGTTCATCCTCATGTAGAAGCTGTTGGCCTCATTGAACAGCTCCCCGAAGATGTCCTCAGCGTGCCTGCCTGGCAGGGGACACAGTGCCCATCACAACCCATCCCCTGCACACACACCTCCCCAGTGGCTCCATGCTCTTCACAGCCTTGTTTTTTTGGGAGCTGAGCCTCACCCTCTCCCAAAGCCCTGCACAGAGGGAGGGGAGCACAAACACCACCTCCACAAACACCCTCAAGCACCCTTTTCAGTGAGTGGTACCCACAGGGGCACAGAACATTCACAGTGTCCCAAAAAGCCTTTGGATCCACCAGGGCAGATGAGCCAAAAGAGTGACATCACACAACATGGCCGGTGGAAATCCAGCCCTGAAGGTGGGAAACCAGGAGCAGGGCAGCAGGGAGAGTTCCACAACAGGGAGAAGCTGTGACTTGTTTAACTTTATAATAACTTTATATTAACTTTATAATAACTTTAGCAGTTATTTTCCTGCAGCATCCCATGCATTGCTACAACAGCTCTTTATTAGGGCTATTCCTATCGTGGGGCTGAGCAAGGAGTCTGGCAGAACATTGCTGACACCTGTAGGCTACAGCATCCATCCCATCCCATTCTATCCCATATCCCAGCCCAGTCCCTATCCCATCCCAAAACCCAGCCCAGCACTCAGCCCAGCCCAGCATCCATTCCAGCCCAGCACCTCAGATCCTCAGGGTTTCCTCCAAACCCACATATCAAGCAGCACCCAAAATCAAGGTATCATTAATACCTTCTCAGACCATTCACCCAACTCAGTCATTCATATTTGATTTCTTTTTCCTCTGGACAAGGTACCCATGGCCTGGGCACCTGTGTCACTTCCAGCAGCTCCATAAACACAGGGTTTATTTTTCTGGGAGTATTTTAGAGAAGAATCTAGTTCTGGAGTGGGAGAGAAGAGGGGGAGCCCTGAAGAGCCTGGGCTTCTCTCTCTTTTTTAATTGGATATTCAGCAGTGAAATAGGTTGCCCCTATTAAACCTTCACACCGGTGTGCAGTGCTCTTGTCCGCCCCTTTTCTGCTGAGATCAGTCTCAGGGAAGGAAGACAGCTGAGGATTTAGACCTTTTATATAGACCTCTCTTCCTCATAAAGCTCTCACATTAAAAAGCATAGGTTGGAGTATTTTGGACCTTCACCCGACCTTCCTATTTCTGGCCAAGTGGAGAAGCAAGGGGCTCATGCAGGCTTTCTGCCCCCCACTGCACAGACCAGATGTGGGAGGAAAATGGGTCTGAAAATGTCTTAAAAGGTCCCCAGTTTGGGCTTGGCCCTGGGCATTTACCTATTTTCAATTAGCTGAATTTAATTCCCACTGAATTAGCAGGGGCTGCAGCCCACATGGCTCTCACATAGCCCCTGTTTCTCTGTGTTTGGAACCAGAGGAAGCGACTGCAGCATCCCAGCAGCATCCCACCAGCAACCCAACGCTCCACCACCATCCCATGCTGGGATTGCTGTGCCATGACTTACTGAGGCTGCCCAGCTGCTTGATGATGGCAGCCAGGGTGCTGTTGGTGACACACTCCAGCTCACTCGTCACCCCGTCGGGCAGAGCCCCCCGGCACAGGTGCCGGGGCTCGATGTTCCTCTTCACCAGCGGCATCCTGCCCGTGAGCCCTCACGCCTCTCCTGGCAAAAGGAGAAAGAGAAGAAACAAAGAAAATAAATTTTATCATTTGCCTATTTGTCCTCCCATTCCCTCTGCTTTCTGCCCAGGATACTCATCCTGCCCGTGCTGGGACACGGTGGGTGGCAGGGGGGCTTTCCCGAGCAGGGGGTGCTCCGTGGGTGCAAACCTTGGGGTGCTGGTGAGCACATGGATGCCAGGATGGAGGTGAGGACCACACCAGGGCCCTGTCCCTACCCTTGTGCTCTTCTGCCAATCCACTGTGTCCTTCCCCCCTCACCTCCGGCGCTGTGCTCAAACCAGGAGCAAACCCCCATGTGCTGCTTCCCTTCTGCCGGCCCCGAAAAGCCTCATCCAGCCCAAACAGAAGCGAGGAAGCGCTTGTAATGCCATTATTTCCAGCTCACTGCCAGCTCTCCAGGGTTTTATTTGTGCACACATTACACTGAGGCTGCTGGGCCCAGCTCATCCCAGCTCCCTGCATGGCCCCCCCAGCATCCCTGTGTGCCCCCCCAACATCTCTGGGGCTCTCATAGCATCTCTGGGTGTCCCTTCAAGCATGTCTGTGTGCCCCTGGCTCTGCTGCCATTCCACCTGAACTGGGCGTGGTTCATTTTCTCTGGGGCTCAAGGAGATGTAGGGAGATACCCTCATCCAAAAGCCTCATCTCCAGCGAGAGCACCCATGGGAGCTGGGGAGGAAGGGTGAAGGATGGGCACCACGGGGTAGGGGGATGCTGGGGGCAGGTGATCCCGCTGATGGAAAGGGGGAGTGGTGGGAAACAGGCTGGGAAAAGAGGCAAAAAATGAGCATTTATTAACCACGGTGATGCCTCCTGGGGTGCTGCAGCCCGGGACTGGGACATGGACGGGCAGTGGCCCCACAGGTTTGCACAAAGGGGTCTGAGGTGACACGAGTGCATACGGACTCAGCTCCACTCCCACCGTGAAGGCAAACTGATGGCCGGGCTGATAAGGAGCAGAGAGCACAAGCAGCGTTCCCAGCTCCCGAGTGCAGCGAGTGGAATCCCCCCGTTTCACGTCCCGGGCACCCCTCATCCACCCCATCTTTACAGAACGTTGGCAGCGAAGGAAAAGCAGCTTCCGTTAATCGCCGGGAGCGGCGCCGCCGGGTGCCGACATGGGAGCCAGCACTTCTGCCCGAGAACCGAGCCAGCAATCTGCAGAGTTCACATTTTTTGGCCCCGGCAGCGTTCGACAGAACAGTTTCCCATTGATAGCACCCGGCCAGCGCTCCCGTCCCCCCGCCAGCACCACCAGCTCCTCCGCAGTTTTCAAATGCAAATTCAAGCTCCCTCCAAGAACGAGTCCAAAACTTGTTCCTAAATCATTCATATGGAGCTTCCCAAAGGGCTGATTGTGCTCCCAGGTCTGTATGGACAGGGCTGGGCTCTGCTCTGCCCCAGACCACTCGGGGCACCGTGGGAAGGAACCCAGCCCTGACCCCTCCGCAGGGTTCTGCGATGCTTTGGGCTCAGAGCAAACAAACCGCGTGTCCTCCGGCGCTTCCCAAACTCACTGCACACGGATGTGAGGCTGGTACCGCCCCTGGCGCCCAAAAGACCAAGAGGTTTCTGCCAGTAGAGTTTGCAGGGGAGACTCTGGATGTCTGCTCGGGCCATGAACAGCCCGCTGGCACCCCCTGGATCCCCCCCCCGGCTGCATAAAGAGCTGAGCAACGCTGGCAGCTTCACCCCAAGCTCACTTTGAGCTAGTTTTATGTGTCACCCCGAAATCCGCCCTCAGCGGCTGAGCCCCGGCACGTCCCCGCGGGGGTTCCCCCCGAGCGGCGGCTGAAGAGACCGGAGGGCGCAGGGAGCGCTGTTAACGAGCTGCTCGAGCCCAGCAATTAGAAACAGGGAACAAAGAGCTATTCTCACACCCATCTGGGACACGGCCACTGGAAACAGCCACCGGCACCCGGGGCTTTTTGTCCCTCACAGGGAATCCGGGGGGAATTGGGGCCACCCGCTCCTCCAGCCCCCGCGGGGACCCCAGAGCGGAATGAATTAAAAAAAGGCATTTGTGGTTTGAAACTTCCCCGCAGGGACAGACTTGCAGAGAGGCAGAAGGTGGGTAAGGGGCCTGATAGCAGCATTTGGGAATGTGCCATGGGAGAGCATCCCTGGAGAGGAAAAATCCCTTTAATCTCACCCCTAAAAAACCCGAACAAGACTCAGAGCCTGCAGCAGGAGGAACCAAGGAGGAACTAGGCACACATTTTTAGGCTTGGATAGCCTGGAAAGGCAACTTTTGCCAAGCTGCTTTTTAATCCTGCCCAATTAATGGCAGGTAACAGGAACCCAGGGGTCAGAACCCCCTGTCAACCCCTCCCGTGACAAGTGTTCTCTCAACCTGCTGCACCAGCAACACCAAACCCCTGACTTCTGGCTGGAAACTCAAATTCTGACCTAAAACCTGTGCCCTCAAGGCCTGTCCTGACTCAGGGCATCACAGTTCTCTGGATGGGGATGGGCTACACACAACTCCACAGACATCAACTTAATTTCTATCCCTCCTGGCACATCTTGCTCACACTTACCAAGCAGCTGCACACAAATCCCGAGAGCTGATGGCCTGGCCAGAGCTCCAGCAAAGGGGCTTCTGCTTTTGCTGATATTTCTGGTAATTTCCAAGCCTTTCAGGTGGTGATTAAGGGTGGCAGGTCCTCAGACCTTCAGGAAAGGGCTCCCAGGGGCAGGGATCTCCTGGGAGCAGGGTTGGCTCCCTGGTGCAAGAGGGGGAAGCCCAAACATTGACAGTCAGGCCTAGAGTTATTAATGATTTCTTCCACACACAGGACCATCCTAACCCCCAACTCAGTGCTCAGCACCATGGGCCACCATCATGTATTGGTATCTCCAGCACAGCCCAGTTGGGCATTGCCCCAGTAAAGCCCCATCTGTGAAGCTGCAGGGCCAAACTGATATATTCCCATGGGCACTACCAGCCCCTGATGGCCTTGATCAGCCTCATCTGGGACCCCTGGGACCTCGGGCTCACCCACGGCCCAGGAGGTTATTCAAACTCAGCTGGGAGTGCCAGACCTGCTCTGAAGGAGCTGCTGGTCCTCAGCTGTGCTTCTGGCCCTGCTCCTGCCCTGGGTGGGTGCTGGCACTGGGGAAACTCCTGGGTTTGGCACAATCTTCAGGGTGAGCACTGGACCTGTGCCCTGGTCCCTTCATTCTGGGTGCCCCTGGGCCTGCCAGCAGACTCTGCTCTGCCTGCTGTTTGCTGGCCCTGGGGGGTGCTGGGGAGCTCCTGCTCTGGGGTCACCCTGAGCTCCCCCTCGCCTTCCCCCCTGGCCCTGCTGTGCCCCAGCAAGGGCAGAGGCAGCGAGGCTGGGGTGGCACCTCGCTCACAGCACTGTGGTGACCTTGTCCTGGAGCTGGGAGAGCACAGCCAGGGTGACAGCAGCACTGATGGGGGGGACATGCTTGATCCAGGGCAGGTGAGATGTTTGGCCTCAGTGTCCATGCTCAGGTTGGGTGGCAGGAAGGGTTTTCCACCTTGCCAGGCTGCTCCAGGTCTGGTGCAGGTGTCTGACCCTGACAGGCAGCACTGGGCTGGGCTCTGCTGCAAAATGCCAACTCTGGCACAGAGGGTGTGAAATGGAGTTCCTAAAGTCCTGCCTTGGGACAGACATCACTGGGATGGATGGATGGAGGCAGGATGGGCTCTTTCCCTCCTGCCCTGCTCCTGCTCTCCTCTCCCATTGTAACTCAGGGAACGTGCCAGCCCTGGAGGGTTTGGGTCTTTCCTTCCCCTCTAGCTGAGGGTGCATCAGGAGATGCAGCTGATGGCTCCAAGGCCACAGGGAGACCCCAGCCATGGGTGGTAGCACTCCCTGCCCAGCTCAGCATGTCCCCTCTGATCCCACCTTTCAGCTGCTTTGGGATAATGGTGTAACCCCCCAGTTTGGGTTTAGGTGGTCACATTGGTTTTTCCAACCATCCTCAGCAAGGTTTGCTTCTCCTATTTATTCCTCATGGGATGGTCCCTGTTTCTTCAGGTGCTGGCTGCTCTATTAGGTGTGTGAGTCAAAGGCACAACCTCAACCAGCCAAATCCTCTTGGGATGGTATTGCAGGGTGAGCATCTCCCCCACTGGGTCTGGGAACATCAGCCAGGCTCTGGTATCACTTACATGGACTAAAATCCATGAGGCTTTGTTCTGTCTCCTGAGTGGAAGCGAGGAGCCCTCAGTGGGAGGTGGTGTCAGGCTGCAAGAGGAGGAAATAGGAGCCACAAAATCAGCAGGAATTTCCTGGAGGTGGAAGGCAGGAGGAGTGGGACCAGCCAGGGACTTCCTGTGAGCTCCAGTCATGGTACAGGCACACTGTGGGGATTCTCCCATCACTCAGCTCCTCTCTCCAGCAGTGGAAAGAGTCAATTACTAAATCTTGTACTGGGAAATGTGAAAGGAGATTCACCAGCTTCCCACTCGCTTCCCAAACCAGCAGAGGAACTTGGCAGGGAACCACGTCCAGCTCACTGTCACAGATCAGCTGAGGTGCCCAGGCAGGGGAGGGGATGAGACCAGAAATGAGCTTTATCTTGTGCCCTAAGAAATTGGTTTCTCCCAAGGAACAATCAACCTCACACCATCCCAAATCCAGAGTTGCTGGTGCTACTGAGGAGCAGCCCCTGCTTTCCCAGACCAAGGAGTTCTGGGGAATAAGGGCTGCCCTGAACGCCAACTGGCAGCCCCCAGTCCCTGCAGACCAGACTGGGAGTGTGATTTGGACTGGCCCAGAGGTGACTCCTACAGCTGGCTCCTTCCAGATGTTATCCTTCACCTCAGCAGCCATCACATCTGGCAGCTTAGATCCTTGGAGTCCATCGGGGCAGAAAAACAGTTTTCATTTTGCAAGAGGGTCCAAAGAGAAGAGTTTTGTGTCCAGCTATTGCTCCTTATTTTCTTTGCAACAGCTTTTCCTGTACAGAACTGTGTCCTCACCCCCACTGAACCCCCAAAC